GGCCTTCCGGATCCGGGCCGAGAGTCGCGATCGAGCAGACCTGTCCGTGCAGATGTGCCACTGCAATGCCTCTGGGGTCGGCGGTCTTCCGAGCCCAGGTGGAAGGAGATTGGTGCGCATGAAGACAGCCGCGATGATCACTGCCCGTTCTTCGCAAGCTGTCCGTCATCGTCTGGGGTTGTACCTTGCCAGAAGGTGGGATAATGCGGGGATCCGCGATGCGACCTCATGACGCGGGGAAGTTTTCCCCTCGGTCTCTCTCTCGCATAGCACGCCCACAACAAGACGCGATCGTACCAATCCGGTGCTAAACCGTCGGACTAGGAGCGCAATTCGTATTTCATCTGCCGGCACTACGAGACGACATACAACGGGTGGCTGGCAGAGGGGCAAGAGTGCGACGGCGGATCTTGGCAATGCATTGAAGTCCAGAGGACGCGGCGCTGTTGCATTGCATCCCGTATTGCAAGACGCGGCCCAATGGCGACAGTTTGTTTTCAATCCAGAGTTCTTTCTTACAGTGAGAAGCGTTCGATTGATCAGTCGAATCAGCATAGGGGGAATTTGTACGATGGCCTCATACTTTTTAGCCTTCAACCAAGCATTCCGATCTGACGTCTTGCAGGCCTGTCATCTTCACGATAAGCGATTTTGGACGACATGGTGCTTATTCGCAGGCGAGGAATGTGCGGCCCCGATCTGACTTTCGCTTTAGTGAGACATGTTTGGTCGGCATTAACACAGCATTTCGAACATGCACGGCGTTGCTAATATGCACGACGAAGTGGAGGGTACAGTATGTATTACCAGCTCGAAAGCCTGTCTAAGTTGGCCTTTATGCTTGCAGGCCATGCTGCTGTCCCAGACATGCCATATCTATCATGAGGCTCAAGTAAATGACGAGAAACGAAAAGAACGCTGTGACGTCAAGCTGCCTAGAGAAGGGCGGCGATGAGGACACCGGCGGCGACACCGGCCATACCGGAGCCAACACGGCCGGCGGCAGCGGTAGGGAGACCGATGGGAGCGGTGCCGGTACGGGTGGGAGGGAAGGAGCCGGTGCCGACGGCCGTGGTCTTGGCAGAAGGCTGAGGCTTGGGAGGCTGCGACTGGGGAGGGTTCTGCGTGACCAGGGTCTTAGGGGGGTGGCTCTCGGTGACGGGGCACACGGTGGTCGAGAGGGCGATGGTCTCGGTGGTGACGTGGGTGCGCCGGGGCAGTTGGGGACCTGGGGAGGGCACGAGGTGATGGTGCGAACGTTGGTCGTGTAGACGGTCGAGGTCGTTCCACTGCGTGGGGGCAGGGGTAGAAGTGGGCTCGTCATCGTCATCAGTGACGGGGCACACGGTGGTCGAGACGGCGATGGTCTCGGTGGTGACGTGGTGACCGGCGGGGCAGTTGGGGACCTGGGGAGGGCACGAGGTGATGGTGCGAACGTTGGTCGTGTAGACAGTCGAGGTCGTCCACTGCGTGGGGGTAGGGGTGGTGGTAGGCTTGGTCTTGTCGGCCTCGGACACGGGGCAGACGGTCGTTGAGATGGCGATGGTCTCAGTTGTGACGTGATGGCCGCCGGCCGGGCAGTTGGTAACTTCGGGCTTGCAGGAGGTAATGGTGCGGACTTTGGTGGCGTAGATGGTCTGCGTCGTCATCTCGACAGAGCTCGTGACGAGTCCCTGCGAGCCGATCACGGTGGTGTTCGAGTACTGCTCACCGTACTTGAGACCAGAGACGGCAGCGACCTGGAGGGCGATAGCGCCGAGTCCCATGTTAAAACCACGCATCTTGACTGGTGGGGAGGCTGGTTATGTTTGGTGGTTGGAACGAGCGTCGGTGACTGAAAGTCGAGATGAGAGACGGTAGTGGTTTGAAAGAGTGACTGGTGCTATGAAGAGGCAGAAGAAAAGGCGCAAGAGTGTTCGGCAAGGCGCCCCTTTTGAATGCCGCAACCCGTCGTACTGTGATGGTGACCGTGATATTCCATGGTGAGCTTAAAGCATGAACTGTGGACGTGGACAGCAGGCCAAGGCCAGGGTGGGTGCTGGGAAGGGTGGATTGGGGGATACGAGAGGGCAGGCCCCTGTGCCGGGAGCCGAGATGCTGCGTCTGATGGGTGATGGGCCATGACTGACTGATGTGCTCCGTGGTCGAAACAAGGGTGTTGTCATTTCTTTGTTGCTTGTTGTCGGGCGGGGGGGAGACGGATGGAAGAGATGACTTGTTGTCGGGCTCAAGGTTCTGATGGTCGTCTTCCGTGCGGTGTGAGGTGTGGGAAGAAGTGCACAGGGCGCAGAGGGGTTTGATTTGATAGACAGACAAGAAGTGACCAGACAAGAGTGTCACCAGGCAGTCGGGGAGGTGGGGCGATGCTACTCAGGGGAAGAGAAATCCAGGGGAAGGTTCGACTGTGCTGGTCGTACCTGGCGAAGCGGAGGGAACGTCAGGTCTGAGGGGCAGGGAGTGTCGGCCTCTGTCGAGGCTCTCTTGCTGTATGCTCCTCGGAAGCCGAAGCAGAGGAAGGCAGCACCGTGGGAGGACCCAGCAGGCTCATCTGGCGGCGGCTTCTTCCATATGCAGGGCCTACTTGCCCCCCCCCCCCCTCTTGCCCCCTGCAGAATGCTGCCTTACAGCGCGGTCCACACCAGGCACCCGCTATTTTTGACTTTGCCCGAAGTCACTTCGCCTGTCGACCTATTCTTCGTCTCCCTTGCACACGAGCATCAATTGTGCTCCCTTTTCATCCCTTTCTCATCTCGAACCCTCGAAACCTCATCATGATACCGTTTCATCAATTTTCTGGCTCAAAGTCCCCCTTTCCCCATTTCGTTTCCTCAAAGTTCAACCCACCTCCGCAGCCCATCCAAACGCCGGCTTTTGACCCTGCTTGAGCTCCCTCGTATCAATTTTTGCTGCTATTTTTCGCTACCGAGACCGACAATATAGTGCTAGGCCGCCCCGTATCACTACAACTCGCACCTCCACCGGGGCTGACAGCTCGCGGGCCGGCTGAGAACCCTCTGGACTCGGTACACGGCGTCTAGCGCATGATCTTGATGGGCCCCCTTCTGCTGTGAATGGCTGAACACTGTTTTTCTAGCGGCGCTGTCGAGTCTGTGCCGACATGAGCCTCATTTGCTACGAGAACCTTCGGTGCTGCCATGACGTCGATCACACGCATCCTAGAAAGGGGTCATCGGCATTGCGGCATTGAAAAAATATTCTCAGACTAGCGCAGAGGGTAGGTGAGCAGGACGCTTGTTGACCTGCTTGAGCACACATCTGGACCTTCAACCTCGTCACGGGCTCCCTGGTACACGCGACGTCAATGCAAGAGCTCGACTTTGACGCTGGCCCCCCGATCTCGCTGCCTGTCTCCGCTACCCTTGCCGCGTCATCTGATCTCTTCATTCTCGCTGTCCAGGTGTTCAACAAGTGAAGACAGCTGGGCCAGGGATTGTGTATTCGCCCGCTGCACAAATCAGATCAGATACAGCTAGCAAGGGGGACAATGGTAGCATGGACTTACGCAAATAGGCATTAAAAGTAACTCCTGGGTCATCAGCAGCATAAGCACCGGGAAAGCTGACAAGATCCGTCGGGACAACGGTGCCCAAGCCGGTGATCTCGAGCTGGTGGCAGTTCGGGTAGAATTGGACGCCCGGGTACGCAAACGCCGCATGCAGCGCAATCGTCTCATGGCGAACCAGGTAGTGTCCAGGCTGTAGCAGGCTGGAATCGTGTACTCGTATTC